AAGTGAACACTGCTCCATTCGTATCTTTCAAGACAACACATGGGGCGAGCGGTATCGAGTTAACCGCAACTTAAAGGATTACCGGAAGGAAACTTTAACCAGAACTATTATTCTTCACGGGATTCCTGAAACTGAAGCAAGTGATGAGCTTAAAATAACCACCCAAGATATAGAACAATTGTGTTATAATCCTAAAACATTCTGCTTGGATGATACGTTAGTGAAATCGGTGCAACGGTTGCGTACCTCATCGAACTAAAATTCTCACTGCTCGAGAATTCTGAGGGTGGTATTTTGAGGGTAGTTGTACGGCTGATAAACTGCTGGTATGTTTCGTTGCAGGTTACCATCTGAGCTTCGGCTGTAGACAGCATGCGACTGGCCTCCTAGCGATCATAAATCACTCTGTGAACCAAACACGTAGGAAACTATAAAAGAAAAATGCATCAGTGTTGTGTCTGATGAACCCGTACAACCTGTTGAAGGTGATATTGACCAGAAACCTTACAGTGTACGTAAAAGTTTAGACACGTATCTAACTACGCAGATGATGAATAAGACGTTGAACCCTTCGCACAGTACACAGATAAAATACGAGTGGTCACCTGCCCCTCACTGTTCAGTAAAATATCACGTATGAGCTACACAACCTCCGAACCATTACACAAATCTGAGCAACTTGCTTGTATATACACTTAGGTCCAATGGCTCCTCTGCACACCTACAGATCTTTGACTACGTCATGTTGCGAATAATTGGGAGATAATTTCTGCTAACAAAATCTGGTTGCTCGAGGAAGCGTCTAAATATGAGGTTGAGATAGCAACCATGTTACGCATTAAAAACGAACGCTCAAGCAGAAAGGTGGGGTCTTTATTACTATCGCAGTAACATGCAGTGTGCAATATTTGCTGATCTGGAAACACATGTTACCGGCGCATGCTTTTGCTGTCTCCGACTAAAACAACGACACATTTCTCCTAGTTGTGTTTTACCACCACTAACGCCTACTCCGAAAATAGATTGCTGCTTGCTACGTGAAGTGTAAAAGGTAACGCGCACTAGGTGAATCCACATTCTCATATCTGAGGATCTGGAGGTAACGGCAGCATCCAGTGTACAGTCAGAAGCATATTTGCATGAACATATGGTTATTATTGCCTTGTACAATCTCGTCACCACATCCACTTAATGCAGGACATCAAACAAACCGTCTGTATTAGATGTTGTACTTACGAATGAATAGCTCATGTTTGACACGTTATTGTTGCAGAGTCCATTAGGTCTTCGCGACCATGTAGTAATAACGTTTAACTATGTGTGTTGTGCAGATTATCCACCTGAAATCACAGAAATATACAAACACACGCTACCATGTCTTGAAAGAACGCGTCGTCGCATCTGTTTGGGAATTCCCAATGTCAAATCCACTTGAAAACGTTTGGGCAGAATTGGTTGAAAGACTCAGCGACAACGTCAACAGAGTATTCAGGAGTTTCTTCTTGTTTGCCATACTAGTACGATTCTGTAACAGAAGTATTTTGCGCCAGCTGCTAAATGTTAGACAACTTTCCAATCTTGCGATTTAGCAATATCACCTGGTTAACTTGAGCGCCACAGCTCCAAATAATGTATTCAACGTTCCAATGAACTCAACAAGTGTTTCTGATTTAAGTCTCTGCTCACCGGCTTAAGAGCTTCGAAGTTATTCATGTTGACAAGAAAACTAAGATAATATTAGATCTCAAAGTGAGCATTAAATGAGCCGCCTGATATCGACTGCTTGTTTTCCTAGTTTATACTTTTGCTTGGTTAAGAACTTATTCATGATGCATCGCTTTTTACTCCTCCAAAATCGGTCATGTATATTCATGCAATAATTACGCTCCTCCCGTTGCTATCTTCATGGATACGTTTTAGTCTAATGAGATAAAACCTACCGACCATACAGCGTAAATCTTAAACAAATCCATCTTCCAAATCATCTGTATTTGCTCTGTGTGTAAATAGCACATTCTTCTACCTGTCCATGGTTATTTAGGCATTACGTGCATACTGATTTTAATGTGAGTGTTGCATATAAACGTTTGCTCGTAGTTGTCAATGAAGGATAGCAATTCCTGTTTAGACACTTCAGCGATCTTGAAAATTTATGGGAATCATTGTTATAGACATTTTAACTAAGATTGACATAACGAGTGGCACTGGACAAGTACGCACATGGCATAGAGGAACTGTGACTATTCAAACACGGGCATGCGTGCTCAAGCCTATTTTTTCTCGTAAATTAGTTCTTAGCGCTTGGGTGAGTAGTCCATTTTTAAGTGTGCCTATAAAACTAGGAAATACACGAAAGCCCTTAGCATTAAAAATGTTAACCTAAAGGTTTATAAGTTGCTTCGAGTTGCTGAAGGTGTTATAACAACATACCTAAATCACACCCAATTCAAAAAACTGATGTTAGCGATTCCTGCAATAATAGTTCATGTTATGCCAATAACGTGTAGTAAGAGACAGAAAGAGCAATCTGAGCAAAAGCATTTGAAAAGTCTTGAAGTAATATGATAATGTCCGTGAACAACAGATGTTATCACACGATATCCTTTATTAATTGGCCAAGTTTCATCCTTCAAAATACGAGAGACAATTATATTCGCAGTGGAGTCTGTTGGCGTTTTTAGCTTCAGAACCTTTAACATTCCAAGCTTTCTAAGTTTAGTGCCGTCGCATACAATAGTATACATCTTGGCTTTCACATCAACTTTTGCGAAATTGCTGTACACATTTGCATATACAAAAGGGGTTTTGCCTTTTATTTCACTGAAATATACTCTACAGTACTATTCGGCGTGGGATTTGGTTTTGCATAATTCAATGCTCGGTATTGTTCAGTGCAGTTTGTCGTGTGATTTTCAGCGGCAAAATTTTTGACGTCATTTAATGCCTTAAATGTTATATTACTACTCAGTTGTGGATCCAAATTTTGATTTAACCTATTCACTCCATCAAGAAACGGGTTTGCAATGGCGATTATTCTGTCTGAGTGATACACCACTGTGGATTGAACATTTGGACTTTCGATTCCTTGCAAGTATCAGTAATGTATTATCTCCACTGTATTTCGAAGCATCTGCATCAGACACAGTCCGCACGGATAGACGGATAACTTTTCTGTTTTGGCATGATATTCCTTAATCTCAGTGGCAAACGTAGATGTGCAAGAACGGTTCAATATGTGCGGATAAGTTGGTAAATGCTATTAGTATCATTATTCATATTTTCTTTCACAATGCCGCTACTTAACTACAATTCTTTACTTTTAATATAATCCTTGTTTCAATCAGCGTGTGTGACTTTGTAGCGCACCAAGTTTTCCTTATTTGGATCCTGGCCAACCAAATTGGATAAATTTGCAACGAATTCCAGTCAGTCAAAATCGTTCAGTTTAATCTTGCGGCTACATTATTGCGCATCTTCAATTTGAGAATCGAATTGCGCTTGATGCTGACTGCATTTTTAACAAAACGCATTCGCGATATGTATATGTTATAGTTGCTATGGGAAAGATGTATATGTGTGTGACGAAAATTCTTCTCATCTATGTGCAATTGGGAGAGCTATTGGCACAGAACACAGTCAATCAAGCACTCCAATTGTTAATACGGCGGATATTTTTCGCTAACTCTGGCCATAGGCGGAAAAACTGAGAAAAATCTGATAATAAATTTTGTTGTCCATAGGGACTCGTGTGGTAAGTAGAGACATTTGTGTATTTGTTGAGTTTCAATTATTTTTTTTACTTCCTCCGGTTTTATTGTTTTCTCATTATAAATCCAAGCATATGTTATAGTGTTTAATGCAAGTACCCAAGTCCTTCGAATACCAAGCAACGTGCTATTTTCTACGATATTTCAATTTAAGTCCATGCGTTCGGATTAGCGCAAAAATATTACCAGGGAATAGGAGATCTGCTGCAAGTTGCCTTTAAGTTGTTCAACCTTCATTAATACTAATATTATTATTATTAATTGACTTGGCCTATTTATTGTCAACAGCTTTGTGTATTGGGTGTTGACAATTAAATCTCCCTGTTTTTGATTCCGTTACTGGTCTTGACAGCAGACACTCACCACCATTCACAATAGGGACCAATTTTTTATGTACAGATCTATAGTTATCAGGAATATATGTATAGTAGATCACACAAACAAATGTTCACCAAGCGAGCCAATGGCAATAAAATAGCGATTAACGATTTATTACAAACTAAACGAGCTTCGCTTACGGATATTTGCATATTAAACTAATCTATACATCAATAACGGTATCAGATCTCCCCACATATGAGAAAACACTGTATTATCACCGTACTCCAGCAGTAAACCCGAAAACTCTCGCAAAATGATACCATTGCTGCTAACCTACAACATATGCCAATATCCAGCGAAACGTCAAGGCTTATGACCTGTTCTAACTCAGTGGACACGTTTCGAACATAAATGTTTTCTGTATGCGATTGAATTTCCTTGGTTTTAATTAATTATTACTGCCGAGTGAAGCGCTGAGGGAATGGTAGCGCTAACTTATTTGATAGATGTGAAAATTATCGAAAGCGCTCATAATGTATGCATGATAAAGTTTCACACAGCCTACATCCGGCTAACCTGCAGCAAAAGTTAAACCAATGCAATTTCTCATCTATGTTACAGTATACAATAATTTGAAACGTTGATCCTGCGCACTATAGGTTTAGCTATGTTATCACAAGACTTTGACAGGAAGTGAAAGACGTTTCAGTTTAATTAACCTTGTTTATTATGACTGGTCCACCTAGTATCTAAGGCAGCCAACGCTGCACGATATGCCTGTCATGCGTGTCACAGCGTCCAGTTAAGCACTGCGATACAGAAAGCTGTTCAGTTTGGTTAAGCGCTGCTGTGGCTCCATCAAAAACACAAATATATAATCAGAAGAAAACTACGCAATACAGAATTAACAAAATGCTTCCAAATATGTACGGAACTACAGGGCTCATAATAATGGTAAGTTTATTATTAAGGTTATTCAGTAACCAAAGGTCATTTAAGTGTTCGAATGACAATTACTTAGAGATTCCTGGTGCTTTCAAATGTGCAAAAGTTATAAAATCAAACTGAACTACTAGCAAATGAATGGCTACGATGATGCAAGATATTAAGAATGAAGTTGTCCAAGATTGTTCAAGATAATTGCGACTGTACTCGATGGAACACATTAGTATTTGAGATCTTAATTAAGAATTCTCAGGCCGGTAACAACGGTGCTGAGAATTTTATGACTTGAAAATTCTGTCTACAATGGCGCTATTCGAAATTTGGACGAAATTTTACATTTCTGCTTATAATGTACTCCTTAGAAATTTGTTTAGGAAAATAATCATTGCATATTTTCAATGCGTTTACCTTCCCGATTTCTTTGCATCCTACAAAAGATGAATTCAACTTCATTGGCTCAGGGATGCTGGAGTACTAACCCTGCACCGTTAGACGTGTGCCGCAGCCGGTGCGTACAAACATTTTACGAGCAGCCGCCTTATTTTGGATTTGCGTTCTTACCGTCCGAGAATTGCCTATCACGTTGCCCAACGACCGTAGTACCACGAGAAAATGCTGCTGATCCTTGAGTCTAAAAACATGGATTCCATAAGTTGCATTCATTCGGTAACCCAACCACCTCTTACTTTCATAATATTTGCTTCTATAATGCACACATATGTACTCAAAATTTCAACTTCTGCTAAACCTAAACGGGGCAGTATTAGCACACTCGATATGTTTCTGGTACACTGCAACAATGGGCATGATATCAACATGGTAATAACAAGCAAGAACTTGATTGCCTCTTCAACACACAAATCCGCGAATCCTTCGCGCGACCAGCAGTGGCCTACTCAGAGATTTGTCACTGCGTTAAAATTCTTCCGCTATTTAATCAGATAAAACAACGCGTTCTGACTCAGCATGTACAATGCATGTAAACTAATGATTAATATTCCGAGAAGGTACTAAAAACGGATATGGTCCGTTGATTCCGACAATGCGTCAGGCGTCGAGTTGTCACATAAATCCCTTGTCTCAGAAATGTTTTGCTTGCGTTGTAAGCTGCTTTGGTAGATGTGTAAGAACTCTCCGGTGGTCTGACAACAAGGCGTGTGGGAATAATCCCACACTTGAGACATCTCATGTTGAAGATACGATGATTTTCCCAATTCGCTTCAACACCAGCCAAGCGCACGAATTCACTAGCCAGTTTTCGAACACGTGGTCCGTATATTGATTCAATATCTCGGAATATGCTTGGAACCGACTGTGATTTCATGATTTCAGAAGGTTTGAATACAAATCGGTTTTGCTAGGATTTTGTTGCAAAACCGGTTTGTATTCAAACCTTCTGATATCATGAAATCATAGTCAGTTCCAAGCATATTCCGAGATATTGAATCAATATACGGACCACGTGTTCGAAAACTGGCTAGTGGATTCGTGCGCTTGGCTGGTGTTGAAGCGAATTGAGAAAATCATCGTACCTTCAACATGAGATGTCTCAAGTGTGGGATTATTCCCACACGCCTTGTTGTCAGACCACCGGAGAGTTCTTACACATCTACCAAAGCAGCTTACAACGCAAGCAAAACATTTCTAAGACAACGGATTTATGTGACAACTCGATGCCTGAATGAAATCCGCCTACATGCTAATCTGCTGAGCTGGGAGCTGCAGACAGCTATAACGCAGACGGACTACGATAGACTTTACAACAAAGCTTCGGAGTTGAAATCAAAGCAAGGGCTAACTGCAAAATAAAGACAAGTTCGTAAGTTCAATCATTTGATGTCTATGCATAGCAAGACCACTAGTCTCGTAGATAAGTCTGAATATAGCAGTAACTATTACATTGTAGTTAATATGTCAGATAGGTTGCTGAGTGAGACGGAACGTATATTACTGAAAATGGGTTTGGACTTTTCTGTAAATAAGTCTAAACTAACTGCAGAGGAAAATATTACTAGCGCTGGGTCCGTGATGACTAAACTACCGGTATTAACAGCTGCGAATATTCGTGCACAGATGGTAGACATTATCAGATTTCAGAAGCCAGGGGAGCCAAATCTTACACTAGCGAAGCGTACCGCATTAAAGCCTAATGTGAAGACCCCACCATTATCATCACGAAAACCGATAAAGGCAAGACTGTAGTGATAATGAACAAATCGAATTATGTGGAGAAAATGGAACAGCATCTAGCAGCAAGGCCCTGCGAAGCAATTGAGAGAAATCCGTTTCATCACTAATGAATAAGTGCAAAACTGATGTAGGAAACTACCTGAGAAATGTGAAGGACAACCTAGGGCCGGGTAAATGGTATAGCGTATATCCGAAACCAACGATCCCAAATAGGATCTATGGGCTAACAAAAATATATAAGCCTGAAGTTCTCGTTCGGCCCATTGTAGATGGTATGGTTTCTCCAACGTACGAAGTAGCACGATATTTGGCAGGTTTATTGCAACCTCTAACAGGGAGAACAAATAGCATTGTACGGAACTTATGAGTTCGCGCGGAAGGTAGCAGGTCTGGACATCGCGCCAGACGAAATAATGGTTAGTTTCGACGTTAGTTCCCTATTCACTAACGTGCACAAGGATAACGCATTGGGTATAGCACGGCGTTGTCTTACTGAGGACAACAGCCTGGGGCAGGGAACGAAACTCACGGTAGATCAGGTAATCGATGGAATTAAAGTATGTCTTGATATGCCATATTTCACTTTCAATTCGAGACTGTACTCTCAGGAACAGGGACTTGCTACGGGGTCACTAATATCCCCGTATTGGCAAATATGTATATGGAAGAATTTGAGAGAAGGGCGCTGAAAAAACACTAGTAGTTCGCCAAAGATTTGGTGGCGCTACGTGGATGGTACGTTTGTGATTATGAAGCGATATATGAAAGAAGCGTTTCTAGATAATCTTAACTCCATTTATGGAAATGTAAACATTGTTATGGAACTAGAATCTTGCAATGACACACTGACATTCCTCGATTGCCTAGTTCACAGGATCGGTGGACGGCTAAAGACAAAGATATATCGCAAGCCGGCAGATACGGAAGGATTGATTCATTACAGTACGGGTTAGCCAAAACAAGTCTATGCCGCTATCGCATCCTATCTGTTTCACAGAGCCCAGATTCTGTGTACAGAGGAGGAGGCCTGGAACGCCGCTCGTAAGGAGACGGTGAGCAAATTAGTAGACAGTGGATATCCGAGGCGGTTAATGGAACGCCGATTGCAGAGAGCTCTAAATCCACCTCCGCGACGCACAACGGGGTGGATTGCGACAGTGGAAATCCCCTATAAAAGGGAACCTCAGAAGCAATCAGAGGAGTACTAAAAAAAGAGAAAATAAGAGTGGATTTTTGAAAGGGCGAAACGCTCCATTCAGTGCTTTTGCGGTTGAAGGATCCACTTCCAAGGGACAGGACGACAAATTGTGTTTATAAAATCAATTGCAAAGACTGTGAACACGTGTACATAGGTCAAACGGCGAGAGAGCTACGCACGAGGATAGCAGAACAAAAGAGGTACGTTTCGCGTCCACCGAGAAATGATCCTGAACACAGGGCCCTACTAAAAGATTTAGCGGTGGCCGTACATGCGCCAGAGGCAGGATAAGCGATTGATTGGACAATGTCGAGATACTTAGGAAGGGATTACCAGCAACAGGACAAAGATTACTTGCTGACGCGATCGAGCGTACTAAGACAAGTAACTGTATGAACAGAACAGACGGGGTAGAGTTATCGAACGCGTGGTGGACTGTGTTAACCCGGTCAGTCAGAAAAGGTGTCGGCGGACGAACTCAGGTCGCAGCATGAATCAGCAGCTGCAATAAAAAGGAATTCCTCACATGTGAACGACCGATGACGTAGATCAGTGAGATCGCTCTGTGCTTGTTGTTTAATTAGCGTGGCCACTTGACCTATTGACCTGTAACATTATTGTCCAATTGTTCATGTTATGACTTGCAACATTCAACTTACGTTCCCAAAAAAATGCTAAGCCAATTTTGTAACGATTCACCTGGCCAGAAGAAGCTCTTGTGTCGAGGGCGAAACCTTTCCACAATAAAAACTTAGCAAAACCGATTCTATTCAAACCTTCTGAAATCATGAAATCCCTGTCGGTTCCAAGCATATTCCGAGATATTATAACATTTTCTGCTTGGATGTCCTAAATATTCGTATGTTTTCTGTATTTTATACAGTGTCTATTACGTAATACGTTAGGGACCATTTTTACAAAAAAGAAGTACATTCCTTAGTACCCTTTAAATTGACAACTTAAACAGCTCTTGGTTCATCTTAGGTGATATAAAACCTGTAACTGTCATCCTAGATACAAGGTTGAACGCATCAGATTTTGCCTGTACAAATTAGCAACCACGGTCTAGCGGAAGCCGCTGCATTTGTTGAGGATGATGCCTTATTGTTAAACATCAAATGTCGCCCACATGATAGGTTAAATTTAAAGTAGATGTCTTACTATGTTTACTAATTATTACACTGATCACAGCAGATTGTTGAGCACATTGCACTTGAATTACTATTTGTGTACATCAATTCTCACGGCTCATACTCAAACCAGATTTACTTTGTGAGTTTTATCGCACATACTTATGCTTACACTCAATGGGTCCACTTTAATCAGCACCAACTAGCAGATTTCGCTTTGTAAGTCAACCTTGTTAAATCTACATTCCATCTCCATTTCGCTACTCCGGCACCGTTCCTGCAGTAACGTAGGTGAAGCATGTTCCTAATCACAAACCATTTAGCACCCTTTGTGGTCTTAAACGATAGCTAACACTGCTGGCTATCCACAGGGCACTCAATTACAACTATCGTCCGCAAAAGACTAGCTACCTCACACTCTATGTCCGTATCGCTCAGTCGGTTTGTTTAAAAACGGAAGATCTAACGCTTCAAAATGCCCCTCCAACCCTGGACGCACATTTATTATCGACGTTGATTATATAGCCAATTAAGCGCCCAGCCAACAGATAGGCAGCCGCTTTATTGAACCGAAAGGCATTGGTCGACGCAATGGTTTGTAACGACCTACAGAAGATGAGCATTTTATCGCACGCGGATCGACAATGTTGTAACGCATTTACCATCCCGGGTCCGCCGTATTTATTCAAATTCGGCGTCCATAATGAACAAGGATTTATCACGGGATAAAAGCAAGTGCTTGACATGTCCCCTAGTATGGTTGGTTTGAATATGATGAAATCAAAATATATCTAAGTCAGTTACCGAACGTCTGCCGAGATGAACACTTTGATAACATCAGTGTAAAACTAAATAAATCGAGCATAAATGTTTAGAAATACACTGGGGTGCAGTTATCGTTGAAATGATGCGTGCGAAAAGTAAAATATGGTCGCTCACTTGGGTCTATTTGATACCTAAATCCTGTAGTAAAACATGCTCGGCGCAATCCACAATTGAGAAGTTTAGGTAAAAGAATGATGGGAGCTAAGAGCAACATCTAATCGTTTTTTGAAAAAGTCGGAGTCATCGAACTACCGTCCAACCAATAGCCTATCAGTTTTATCCAAGG